AAGGATAGCTCTCGCGCAACAGTTTGCAGTCTTTGCAGCATCTAAAAACCTAAAAATGAATACATGGTAACGAATCATCTACTCAGCACTTTAAAAAATGTTTATTAAACAAAATGTATCGGCGTCTTTTCTGAAGAGTACATAGCGCTTGCTAGGTGCCAGTATCGTGAAATCTTGCATCGTAACTTAATCGAAAAAGTCTAAGGATATGCTATTTGATGTTACAGCACAGTGCCCTCGTCAAGGACTGAGCAATCGGGCTGCTTATCAACAAAATTGTTTCATTTAATTAATGGGAAACTCAACAAATACCACACCACTTTTGTATACCAGGTTGTATAGAGTCAGTTGATACTGTATCTTTTAAATTCACAATGTAGTTTCTATAGGACCACATTTTCTATTGGAAAAGAAGTAAAATGCTACTTGGCATTTGACCTCATCCTAATTTTTCGGACAATTTGTTCCTGGGCGAACGTAATATGGATTGCGGTAGTTTTCTTCCCGGTGGTTGGAGTACCCGCGTTCCGCTCTTAGTTGAATTCTATTGTTAGACCACTCCTTGAAAATATGGGAATCTACAAAGCTTCTCAATGATTTATATCTTGCAGTAAAAAAATCAAACCAACATTAAAAGGATATTAAGCACTTTGTATCTCACGATGAACAAATATCAAAGCAGTTTTTATCAGACCGTACTCTGAGCCCTACAATATTCTCAAGATAGAGTTGTTTCCTCAAATCTGTACCATCTCGTTTTATGATGAAGAATCTGAGGTTACTTTACTGAGATTCTCTTGAACTTTTATGCATTTATCGCTGAGTTTTGTAATAAATAAATGGATGTTTGTTGAAATAAACGAATTGTGGACAGAAACCTCAGCAAGAGGAAGTTAAATGCATTGTATCAGTTTCTCTTTCATAAAAATTTGATGGTTTCAATGCTTGCTATTGTATCAATAATCTATTTTACCTACTAATATTCTAACAACACCAAGTTAGCGAATGTGTTAAAATCTCATACACTAGTCGCGTCATTTACAAACTAATTCATAGGGAAACGGTTTCTTACCTACGCATTTACTGCTTTAAAATACAAACGCCTGATTACAATACACGAGATTGCTGATTCTACATTTTTAAACTGGGCGGATAGTAACCGGGCATAATCTTACTTAATCATTTGACTATTCAACTGACGTTGTCTAATCAGATTATCGTACACTACGTAAGAGATGGTGGTGACGGTCGTTAAAAGATGCAAATTGTCTTTGAAAACAGTCCTGTAATCAAAAAGGTTTTTGTTTACTAAGCAGCACTGTCATAATCCATGAAATATCGATGATCGTCATTCATAGCCTTGAAGTATACAAGAGGAATACAAAGTGGGTAATTATTACAGAATAACCAGCTTAGATAGCATTTAAGGGTTGAATTCATCGAATGCCATCGATAAAGGTATTTAAATATTAGATAGGCGGTAGATTGAACTACAAGCGTGCATTAACGTGGACCAAATTTGATTGACTGAAGTGGAAGCACGGGTGAATAGAACAGGATTAAGTGGTTAAGTGGTTTCAGAAATCATATTAAGGAAGTACTTCTTACAAAATAACAAGTGTTTTGTGATTCCCTGTTTTCGGATTCGTCGGGTCCGGCAAACTCTCGTTTTGATATAATTCGTGTATTAATAGACATTGAGAGAAGATCAGATAACGGAGTTCTTTGTTCAATATTTTACTTATTCAAGTTTACACTTTCATATCTGATGTACAGATGGCTAGCTCAAAACACAGTTTTGTAACAAGTGCTTGGTTTGCTGATTCTGAGAGCGCATTCTCCTATTATGGTGAGATAATTTAAAGCGCTTTGAAATCTGTATAGAAAAATAGAATGTGATCAATAAGCCACGTGATTGAGGGATTAAAACGAGGATAAAAACACTTGGAAAAGTACAACATTTTCAGTGCTATTAAAATAGTCTGGATGAATAAAAGCTGATACTTATTACCATAACTGATGTGAAGTCTTATCGCATATTTAAAAATCAAACAGATGCACATTTTTCCTCTGACGCAAACTGCAGTTGCAATTGTCATTCTCACTGACAAATATTTTTATAACCCGTTTATTTTATAACAGTCCGTCAGTCAGTCTGG